CGAGGAGCTCCTCTGAAGAGCTTCATTCACAGAGCCAGGATACTGATAAGAAGCAGAGCAGAGCTGCATGAATCCACCCTCTGTTCAGTCTCCCTCGCTCCACTCTCCTCCAGCTCTTTATGCTTCCTGTGAGAAAGTTGCAGAGATGATGGGGGGGGGGGAGACAGGGACAATCAGAAAAAGCAAATGACTTTACCTGCATTAATAATGACACATTAATTACAATGGGTCTCTGACAGTGTAACGACTTTTAACAGTTTTAAGGAAAACAGACACTTGTAGATTCTTTGTAAGATTGGGGATCCAGATTGCTAACTACTGGGAAAAGCTGCAACCATTTGTCATTATTTGTCTGGCATAGCAAAGGACTGCGTATGTGATGTGTTTATGGCTGACCTGCTGCCCCAGGGAGGGGTCCTGAGGATTAAGATCAGAGAGGACTCCCGATGGTCCAACCTATACGGATCAAATGTGATCTTTGAACTCCACAGTGGAAAAACTGCATATAGATGGACTTCTGTGCGAAAGTAAGACCAACTAGTTGTTTTACTTTCTTTAATAGCTTACTGTGCAGTAAATAAAATGTTTAGTAAATACAGTGATGGATACAATAGTAATTGGAGGTGACTCGAGCTACAATCAGATTTAAGCTTTCTTGTTTCCTGAGAGCCTCATGTTTTTCCGCTAAAGAGCTTCCAGAAAAGCTTTAACTCGTAATGGTAAAGTTTCTAACATCATTCCCATGTTTCCCATTGTCTGATCTGATTAATTGATAGACAAGACATCCCTGATGGTGACGACAAAAAGTGTTTGTTTTAAGATAGCGTTAACTCACTTTCTATGTTACCCTGGGGAAGCTGCAAGACATACCTGTTGAAATTGAAAGACATTTTAGCCGGCTTCTTTCTGAAGTTAAAGGTGGGTAGGTAATTTTGGAGAAACCATTTCGAGTGCGCTAGAATTTGAAAAGACACAACCAGAAAAAATCTGCCACTTCCTTACAGAGCCCCTCCACGTTTGTTTATGGATTTTTTGTCAAAGCACTTAAGATATTCATTGCTATTGGGATGTTAAGAGCATTCCATGGAATATAACAAAATGATTATCTCGAGCCGGTTTCTCAAACTTACCTACCCCACCTTTAAGGTTAAACATAAAACAACTAACTTTGACTGTGTCTTGTTAGAGGAGGACAGTTTTGGCAGCAAGCTTTAGCCTTCACTTGTAAGTGTCTGTATTTGTGAATATTCCTCTGTGTGTGTGTGTGTGTGTGTGTGTGTGTGTGTGTGTGTGTGTGTGTCTCCTGTGTTATTAATTCGTTTTCAAATAAAAAAATATTTTGTCATTGTGCTGATTAAAGTTCTTGAAGAAGGAATGTCAAAACCTTCATTAGAAGTTTTACTACTACAATTCTTTGGTCATGAAACATCTGCTAGAAAACTTTGTCATGAATACTTTGCTGACAATATTTTGTCATCTGAAAGATCTCCATGGCAACATGGTAATCATCATCCCAGCTCTTAAGTCATGGGAATAGTCTGGTCCAAGTCTTGGTTTGGCTTTAAAAAGGGCCAGAGTGACTGTGTTATTTGAGCTGTATGAGATCAAGTGTGTGTGTGTGTGTGTGTGTGTGTGTGTGTGTGTGTGTGTGTGTGTGTGTGTCTCTGATTGTGTGGTCACCATTGTCCAAAATATCTTTCCATCCTGCACCTGTACCAAGGACATCACCCAACCTCGAAAGAAACATCAAATCCACAGAGTACACTCATAGCTTTACTCATAGTAAACCAAATTTGAATGCATTACACATACACCAGAGAAATGCGAAACATATATACACGTGGTCCATTCAACGTTGGACATTTGAGGAGCTGAAATCCCCCATAGGCTGAAAGACGGGGTTAAGCTGAGTCATATAGGAGGTCACAGCTGCTAAAACACACAGCAAACAAAATGAGTCCTGTTTGTTTTTGAAGGAAGCCTATATTACCCACAGTCAAATAAACTTCATTCAATCTCCCGACCCCCCTGGACTCTCAATCAACACGCAGCCTTGGTCAGCACCAGTGGCGGCTGGTGGAAAATATCTTTGGTGGGGCTATGGAAATGGTGACAAAAACATGTGTGTGTGTGTGTGTGTGTGTGTGTGTGTGTGTGTGTGTGTGTGTGTTTGTGTGTGTGTGTGCGTGTGTGTGTCAGTCATACTTGCCAACCCTCCCGATTTTCGCGGGAGACTCCCGCATTTCTCCCGATTTCTGACAAAATCAGATTTACTCACGACTGTTTCCACTCGGACTTTAATACAGCTACACCATTGTTTGGTTTCCATGGTAGCGCGTCTCTTTAGCAGCGCGCGCAACTCAAAGTCTGAGAGGGTGAGGAAGATGAAAACTGAACAAGAATCGACAACTCGACCCTCTGATCACTCCTTTCCTGTAAAATACAGGTCCAGCCCACCCTCGACGAATCTACCTTGTAAACCGCGTACGATATACACATCACACACTTCCCTTTAACTGGACACCCCGCTGCGTCACCTCG